CTGAACGTTTTTGGGCCAAACAAAGTTCTGGAGTTATAACCCTGAAGTGCGCTTGGCAATGCTGAAAGTGCTTAACATCATTAAGATGATGAATGCCCCTTTTTTTCAAGAGAGCGTGCAGTCTCCAGAGTAGTGCATTCATTAGTGTGATTAACTTTGGGTGTCCTTTTCTTCTTTGGCGCCGTTCTTTGTTGAGAAACTATTATTGTCGGCTAACCTCATGAATACGCGATATAGTGGCTTAGGGCGGTGCGCGCACTCGGCTTATGTGCCCTCCAAGGTCAATGAAGCGCGGCGTTTGTTTGGGCTACAGATCATCGTTTGGCTTGGCAGTTAGCCATAGATTTGCGGAGTTGTTGTGCACTTTGTGCTCACTTGCGCCGCTGTGCAGGAATGTGAAGAAGTCTTATCTCTTGTAAATATCGATATCGCCAGTCAACAGGGTTAAAGAAATAGCCAATATCGGTGGTAAACACGTAGCAACAAGCAACTTTTTTCGATAGAGATAAGCTTTTTGAGATCTGTTTAATTACGATAACAGCTGCAGTTTGCGGTGCAAAAGTTTCTGAAGAAATGTTGTGTTATGGCAGAAGGCTTGACCCCAGCATAGACTCGAATTCTCCTCACGTAACTGTCTAACATCCTGTAAGCATAATGGCTTTTATGCCCTAGCTATGTGTATGTAATGGTTAGCCCACTAGCCGGATGTGTCGTGCATGCTGAGTCCTGGCTGAGGTCAAGTTTTCTGCCCGTAATTCAGCATTCCACGGGCAACTTTCAAATCGCGAAATGCAGTTGCTATCATCGAAAAAACAGGCCTAAGATGCTGAACTCTATCGAAAAAAAACTGAATTGCTACATGTTTAGCACTGGCATCGGCTACTTCTTTAATCTTGTTGACTCGCGATACCGATATCTACAGGAGATGAAACCTCTTCATGCTTATCGTTCTTGGGACAAGACCCTTGAATGGCCGTCCAAGCATAGATCGGGGCTGTGCCTTGTCGGGCTTAAGATTGGTATTTAGCTCCGGTGCATGTTGGAGGCTTGCTAAACCCTGTTTTTGTTTTCCATTGAGCTTTTCGTTTTTGGCATTAGGTATTGGAAACCCGTGGGAGCGTGACGTTCTTAGTCCGCTGTAATGGTAAATGCTCCACAGCCATCTGGGCTGATATTGCTTTTGTACGACTATTTATTGCGGTCTGGTCGGCAGTATCATTCGATTCATTTATGAAATTCGATATGGGAACAGATATAACCCCGCTAGATGGAAAGCGGGTCGTCGTTCGGTCACTCGGTCGCCCATTCCCTCCGTTCGTTGGGCAGGTACGTGGGGGACGAGATACGCGTCAGCCCACAAATATGCAAATGGACTCGCGTACTGATTGATGACGACATCACGTCACCGACAGGTCGAGTGTGTGTTGTAATGCAATACTCGAATGAGGAGAAGGTCCTCAGTGAACGGAGATCGCGTTACTCCTTCTCACAAGAACTTGAAAGTAACAGCTACAAGTGAAAGTCGGAGAGAGCGACATCTGAAATGTGGCCTTGTGCTGTCAGAAAGGGAAGTTTCTCGTCGGCTAGATTGAAGACGCCGTATTCCTCCCCTTGTGGATCGCAATAATGAGTTAACCTCGGGTGATCATTGAGACGAGCGCATTTGGGGCATTGTGTAGCTGAAATGCAATTAGACATTCTTCCTCGACGTTATTTATAGGCTCAGGGACACGCATTGCAACAGAGTCCTGAGCATTGAGTGCAGAGTGATGCCATTTATGGGGGTATTCGCTGGGCGCACGATCGACTTGATTATCGGAGGCCGCATAGCTTTCGGAGCCGAGGGAATGTTCGTTGTTTCTGATAGATGTGGCGTCGCGCATTTTCGCTCGAGTTAATTGTCTTTCCCCCTTTGCCACAGCAGATACCAAATGGCCTTGCGGGCTGACCGAGCAAAGGATTATGAAATGAGGGCTTCGGCCGTCCTCTGTTCTTTCGCATGCATGCTTGTTACGAAATATGCCCCAACTAATTTACTCGGGAAATGGCGAGTGTTTTGGGGACTCTCTGCCCAGGAGGTGGTTGTCAATCAGAGTTATGAGGCGACAGTTATCGAAAATTTGGTGGTTTGAGGAACGGTAGCCTTTGATCGTTAACTGCCCAGAGCAAATAACGGCGCGACGGTTGGGCGCCAGTCTAATAGCTCCTTTACTCTTGTAAACACGAGACATGACATGTGTGAGTCACTTTGCACTGAGATTGCCCATGGAAGAGTTGCTTCGTTTTGTACTGTTGGGGCGGGCGTTGAAGCTTATGGCGAAGACGAAGCAAACAGAAAATTTTCAATATTTCAGAGTGGAGGGGGAGGGGAGGGTTTTAGGTCGCGTGATCATGTCAGAGGAATCCTTTATTTTCGGAGAATATCAGACCGCAGACTGCTGAAGCTGGAAAACGTGGTTTTGCTTTAGGACCAGTGTTCGAAAACCAAATGGAAATAGGAATTTGCAGGTTTTTAATTTATTGTGCCAAAGAGGTTGTTAGGTAGAAGACTATTGAAACTGGCCTGACGTTTCCACTGGATCGTCGCCCTCAGACGCCTGACCAAGCGCTTCGCCACTACAGCGTGTTTTGACTGAATTATGGATGGAAGTCAAGAACTAGCTGAAAAGAAAAATCGGGAATGACTTTAGCCGGTGCAGCCCGCATGTCGGAACCGGTACTAGACACAGAGTAGATTAGCGGATTTTTTTCGACATCCTCATTAGTGCCTGGATGGTAGTTCGTTTCTCGTCATTCGGTTTTTTTGGTTACTCGCTGAAACTCTCGTGTCAAGAAAAAGCATGACGGGCCTGATTAACCAGACCTAGCTCTCGAGGTCCAGGGTTATTCTCGCGCGCATACCAGATCCAGTAGATCTGAGGGAGACGGTAAAGGTAAGGCATCAGAGAAGGAGGAGGAAAAGAAGATAGGGGAAAAATGGAAGAGAGAAAGAGGAGGCCTCCCGTTGGAATTGGCAAGCCCTCGAGGCGGTCAAAACGGTAAGGAGTATCCGAGGCCGGCAACCCTAACCTTTGAGCTATGCTGTAAGACCTTGAATACGTACGGTGCGGTTTGCAGCGTCAGGCCAAAGTATTAAAAATATCATTCCGACCTAACAACCTTATTTGACAAAAAATAATGTGACAAATAAAAATGCAAAGTTTCAAGTTTTCAACGATACAATGTCATTGAAAGTTATTGCAAGTAACTGCTGAGGTATTTACGTGAAGCGAAGAATTATTGACACTATTCGAACAAAAAAAAAAATGTAATCAAGGAGAGCTGACGAAGAGCACCCTCTTCGCACTTTTGATTATCCCCCACATTAACAACGGCTAAAGAGGAAACTTAGCACGGGGGATCAGTAGGTGTTCAGATGTTCCTGTTTTTGATGAAAGGCGCATTTTATCTTTTAGCTATTCCCGTTCATTGACGGCTAATTTATACTCGTGATTGATTCCCCCAGTCATTCACATGAGTTGTTTAGGGAATGACCGCGGCGGATCTTTTGGAAAAAGGAAAAGCCGGCTATCCAGCCGTATTTGACGCTCTCTGGCAACTTGCCATGAAAGCACAGGAGAAGTTCCAGCAAGAAGGCATCGATGTCGACAGTGTGCTCGCAGCAGCTGGCCAAGTCGTCCGCACCAACATCATTCAATCAATCCTAAACTTTTTCAAGGTTTGTGCTATTTGCAGTTGCAGCAGCTAAGGATTTAGGGCCGGACTTATATCAGATTAACATATTTCTTCTTTTTTTTCCAGCGTCGTCCAGCGCCTGTCGCCGAAAAGAAAGATGAGCCAGCAGAGCCTGCACCGGCTGAGGGTGGAGACGCAGCCCCAAATGCACCCGAGGGGGAGCAAGTAGCTGAAGAGGAATGCAAAAAGGTATGCAAATTTAGCTTTCTTTGGGATTAAATGGTCGTGGGTTTCGAATGTAATGATTACTTTTTTCAGATTGACGCCTTGACGTCAGCTCCTGTTGCGGCCAACTAAAATGTTCTGAAAATGGTCCACCATTTCCTTTATTCCGTTCAGATCTGCCGGTTGTTTCTTTCCCCCCTCAACGTTCCCCATCGCCCTCTCATCGTGTCCCTTATCATCTCCTATAAAGTTCAGTTTTAGGTAGGTTACTTTTTTCTAGTAACCGTACGAGTATCAAATTCTCAGCATTGTTACACATTGCAATAAGCTAAGCGCGAGTTGAATGGAGAGCTATAATCCGTTACTGGTCGGCGCTAGCAGATAATTGTCGCACGGCCTCGATAATGGTGGGAACTGTGGTTGTCACGGCGGCTCGTTCGTTTCACAGCCATAGTTTTTCTATTGTTGGATTTCGCTTTGGATCAGTTCTCTGTCCGCGAACGACCGTAACGTGAAATCGGTGGAATCTCCTTAATGTGCACGTTTATGGTGGTGGAACACAGACGAGCGGCATTTGGGAAAAGGAGGTGAAGAAAGGGGGTAGGGTCGACCTTGTTAGGCGTTTTTCCTTTCCACATACCATTAACGTTCGGAGGGTACACAAATGGGATTCAAGCCTCGCGTCCGTGAGTGAATCATTCATTACGACTACTTCACCTTTACTACTAAATGTTCGCATGACCAGTTTTCTATCGGAACACCTGCTGGAGAGCGAGCACCTAATTTGACCTAATAATGGTGTTCTCAAGTGGAGGGGGGGGGTGTGGGGTGGGAGGAAGAAAAAAAATACCAGTCTAGTGAGGGGGGATGTTCAAGTGGTTATTGAAGTGACTACCCGGTTACGTAAGTGTGCTTCGTTCCGTTGTCGCGCGTGTGCTTTTGTTTTGCGCAGCGCTCTGACCATCACCCTCCACCACACGGCTGGTGTTTATCGTCTATGCAAATTAGTGCTGATTGTGGTGTCGGTGTTGGTGGTGGTTGAGAGGGTGAGATAGATAGGGGAATTAGATGAGAGACAAACGACACGGATAGACGGTGTCGTCAGAGCTCGCGGGATGAGCGCGCGGCCCACGGGTACTGGATGACGGTTGAGCGATTTGCTGGCATCTGGCGATGGCTATCTTGGCTCAATGTGTCAAAGATTACGCGTGTCGTATGAATTTTAACGGCTTATGTCACTACGGTAGCAGTAGGGATTGTAATGCAACACCGAGGGCCCATCTACCGTACGAGACGTTGAAGGTCAGCCGGAAATGATTAGGGGAGTTATTATATTGTGCGGTGGTGTAGAGATGACTAGAGCGCTTGATCGACCTTCTGGCAGCGTCGAGGTAGAGCGAGGTCGAATGACAAATCTGTCGGTCTGTGCCATGGAGGGTGTGCGTGACATTTGGCAGGACAAGATTGAACTGAGGACACTAGAATGCCTGACAAATAACTAATGAGGAGCAGGGTACCATGTAGCCTCGATATTAGTCGTCAGCAGCCTTGTGGGGAATGCTTTGAAAAAAGGGCACCAGCCCGCCCAGTGAGAGGGGAGTGCTTTGCAATCTCCTGTGATCCGTTTGGAAATTTCGGCAACCCCTGTAAGAAACAAGAGAAACAAGTTTGTACTCTTTCGTCACAGTGTCTGGAAATAAGCTAGGGAATGTGCAGGGGGGGGGCGGGATAATGGGAGTGGAGAACGAAACACGTAAACCATTTTTTACGCGAAGGATTTAGTTTCAGGGAGGTCGTACGTTGGCGATCCTAGCAAGGGGCGTAGTATTCGGTCGCTGGATGGTAGGAGCTAGGTCGTAATTGATTTTGAAAGTGTGTACTTTTCTGGGTCCCTCCAGGTGCGCTATGTATCGTCCCCACTTCCCTCCTACCCTCTCCCCCCTTAACCAGCTCGATTGCAGTTTCTTTTCTTTGTGGGGGAGGGGGTGGGGGGGGGAAGTTGAGGAATTTTGTAAAAGGCTCCGGAAGGTGGTAGGAAGTTGGGGAAGTTAAGGAAAATGGTAGCTAGGACGAATGGATGGGGAAGAGCGGCGTTGCACCAGGAGGACAGGCATAGTTTAGTGCGTTCGCGTAGTTTTGCCAAAACGTTTCCCTAAGACAAGACATCCGGAACTGGTATACCCAGAAGTAAAGTGAAGTAAACCTTCCAGGCTTATGGGGCAAGAATGCTCACCCCTATCGTTTCCTGATACCTTCTATCGCTGAATATTGTCTATCCTGTAAATAATGGGGAATTATGACTGGAATGCGTTCATTTTGTCAGTGTTTCTTGGCTTTTGCCGAAATTCACACAAAATTGCCCCGATAGTGGTGAGGGGGGGGTCATCGAGGATGATACGTCGATGAGGCTTAGAGCAGGTCATTTTGTTGAAGATCGTGTAATCAGAGTAGCTCATAGCTCACTCAAAGAAGTTCGCAACTTCACAGGAGTTTACAGGTCTGACCAAAATGAGGTCTGCTTTTAACACAATTAACAAGAAACTAGCAACAGTGCAAAATGCCCCCTCCCAAGCCGAACAGCACCCAATTCAGTTTTTGGAAACTTGATTTTCATGGTAATAAGATCATTTGTGATTTCAGATCTGCTTTCGGCCGCGTATTGACGTGTGGTCGTCAAGCTCGAGCTTCAATTCCATTGTGGTATTGTTGTTAGTCGTTTCCCATTCGCCCATAATCTTCACGTCAAACATGTGTATCTTATAAAATTCAATTGTTTATTGTTTGTCTCTCGAAATTATTTGTATAATGTCTCCTGCCACTGTACTTCCTGTGTGCTGCTACAATAGTGACGAAGCAAAGGATGAAGCGGTTAAGGGACGGTATTTGGTAGCTGATAGCTTGATATTTTGTCATTATCGTTGTTCGATTGCTGTCTCTTAGCGATTGAGCGAAACTTGACGAGCTCTTGAAAAACTATTTTGTACGAGTTTCCACGCTAAAAGTCCTCTAAAGATCGTCAAGTGTCGCTTGACCGCATTGTTTGTTGTATATGTATTTTTCATATCTGCGCGAGAGATTTCTTCTTTTTCCTTGTTTGGTTCTACGACCTCAATTGAGGGGTCACACCGCGATCATCATTATCATGCGTATTTTCGAGCATTATAATGCCTCCATTAACATTTTCTTCTTTTCTTCTTGTAATTGATGCTCTATGCCCCCCCCTAATCGAATTGGCGTTGCACACATCTATTTAATTGATCTGTATTTTGGTTGAGATTATGCTTTGTCTTCAGCTTGTTGTGTGTTGACATGCAAACCGAGGTAATAAAAGTCGCCTTCAGATGGATTAGAAGGTTTTTCGAGGCAAACGTAGTTGTGGCAGGGGACCGCTAGGTTACACCTTTGTCCCTTTCCTCTAACCGAGACCTATGGTATGTCCAGACGGCTAGAGTTGCAAAGGGGTTGTATCGCAGAAAACTTGGATACGGAAAGGTATACGGAGGCGCTGCTAGGTGGTCTCCCCAAAGCTACAGAAAGGGCGTTTTAAACAGTTCTGCGCGGATGTGGTTTAGGGCATGTTGCATCGCTTTTAGCCATCTATCTAGTATTTCTAGTTAGTTGACTCAACAGCAATTTGGCATCAATCAATTGTGTTGTGACCTGCGGCAAACCCTATTTATTCCACGGCATTATCCCGGAAAATTCGGCGGTGAGTTGCTTTCACCTTGGGGTAAGTTGTGATGTGTGAAATGGCGTGTCCGTACGTCCTCCTCTCGTGCCAAAATTCCCATCTGCAACACCCCTCGCATCCCCGCCACCCTCATTTCACCTACCACCTTCCTAAGTTTTTTCCTACACTATCAACATTCCCAATTTCCGAGAAGTTTTTCTAGCTCTTCCCGGAGTAAATCTGATAGTGGAGGGGGCGTCATCAGCATTAAGCAAACGGCAAAAAAAGGAGAGTAGTTCTGCATCGCCGGCAGCACGCAACCAGGACGAGGGTGCACATGAAATGGAAAAAAAAATCGCGAAAACTCAGTGACCGAACGAAATTTTTTTATTTTTTTCTCGACTCGGGAAACTTCCTATGAAGGCCAGTAACTTTTCTTCCCCAGCGAGTGAATACCACCACCCCCCCCCCTCCCCCTTATGGAGTTCACCCAGCGATGCTGAACGCTTTTCTCAAGTGTTGAGGATCAACGAATGAATGAAGGGCCTCAGCACCAGAATAATCTGCATGTTAAGGTGAGGGAATGCCTCGATGGATGGGTGTTCGCTCACACATTCCAACTTTTCACTGATATGGTGGCTCAATCACCACTGGGCACCCCTCCCCCATTTATAACGGGCTACTCATTCGCTGAACCAAAACTGTCACTCTTTGCACCTCCCCACAAGCGCTGAGCCCTTGAGTGAATGGAATCCTACGACTAAAAATATTGCGTAGGTAAGGAAAGAGCTGGCAATGATCGTCAAAATTCGAGATGAAAGAAAACTAATAGTCACCGATTTCGCGCGTTGCTGCTCGGATCTCCTGAACTGCATTCGCTATGAATTCCAGCAATACATGTATCCGGTTCAGAAAAGGAGGACTTCTTATATCCCTTCTGTCATTTCAGAAAGGTCGAAATTAATGAGTGGGTCTGGAGTGCAGCCTCTGGGAAAGGCTTCTCCAATCAGGGCACAGCATCGCTGTGCGAACCACATAGAGGAGGAGGAGGCGTTCTTGACCGCACCTAGAGAGGGGATCGTATTTGGTCGCTGTTGGGACAGGGGGGTTGTATGTGACTTTGAGAGAAATTTGCCGCGTTGGGGGAAAATCCCCCTCCCCCCTGCTAGTTGGTGGCGCCCCAAAGTTCTATATAACTACTATTTCCGATAGTTGAAAACAGTAGTTGGTTTCTGGCGACCTCTCCCCCCTCCCCCGTGACGGAAATTTTTCGGGAGAAAGTAGCAAATTCTCGAAAAATTTTGGAGCAAAAACATAGGAAACTGGAAGATAGGCGTTGGGGAAGGAGGCGGGGTCGTACCGAGAAAGGAGACCGGGGGGGGGTTGTAGGGTGGTACCAAGATCCTCTTTCAGAGAAGGAGGGTCGTACTGACGCCAAAATTTCACATAACATGGTGCTGTA